CCCCCCCTCCCCTTCGCAATGGGTCATGCCTACGCAAAACTTTGCCGAGGCAGCGAGGGGAAGGAGGGGAGTATAGTTCGACGCTAAAATCGTTTGGAAGAGTTTCGTGTGCGAAGGGAGAATCGTATAACTCTGGGGATGTATGTAGCCGCAAGGAACTAATATGGACGCCGGAATTAGTGCCAACACGCCCAGGCTAACCGTGTACATTGTTTGCTTCATGCACAGGTCCCTTCCCCTTCTCTTCCAGGCCACCTCACCCGCTGGCCTGGCAAATACTCTTACGCTCTTGTATATACTTCGTATTAGATAGCACAGCAGGTCACCCGTTGTTGGCGACGTCCTGTACCCGCCATTTTACCGATTCGGGAACGATTGATACATCCAGGCGGGAAATCAAGTCCTTCAAGTAATAATTGCCTCGGCGCTTTGCGGTGCTGTGTGAACTGACGACTGGCGCTCGTCACCTCTAGATTCCGGGATTGAGCATTCCACGAAACTCGATTCCAAGAGCCGAGCCTACTGTTGTAATGCATAGCGAGCCAGAAAGGTTCAAGAGGTTACCCACCTGAACCACTCAGTCACTGCTGTGTGACCCGAGCTCTCTGGAAAAATACGGTTAAAAAGTTTCTAAGATGTGTAGCTGTTTTTTTGGGCGGTTTCGTGTGGCAGAGCCTGGTGAGCTGCCCACGGGGGATGCATGTCAACCATGCTGGATCGGTCTCGCTTTCATAGCGCGTGACCCGTGCGTCTCGCATATAGACTGCAGCAAGCAGTATTCCACGGGGCATTGTACGCGTGTGTGCATGTTTCCAAACGGAACAACTTTGCTGGGGTACAGTCGACCCCGCTTTAAGGACGCACATGGTTTATCCTGACAAAAGGCGTCCTTAAGGCGGGGTTGCGTCCTTAAAATTCAGACGACGATAGCTCACCATCCCCTGGGCCAATGGAACCATGCTATACCTCAAACTACGCGTCTTTTGCTAAAGAGGGGGGGGGGGGGGGGG